CTTTCAAGCTATCTTTTCTTGTTTGACCCATCAGAATAATTAGGCCAAGGAATTTCTTGATGTCCTTCTGTGTAACCGGAGACCACTTTAGTGTTCTAGATGGTGTTTTGCGTTTCATTGCGGTTTGATCGTGATAGTTGGACAGCTCTTTGCACAACATCTCAAACAATTCATCACCAAAAAAGAGATTGGTCACAGAGGGTACAGAGTCACACTGAGACGGAAATGTAGTGACCCCAGCATGACCTTCAAACATTTGTAAGCGTGGGGGTGTGTCAATTTCAGACCAACAATTATCAGTAGCTTCGTCAGTGTCGGAATCACTTGAAAGCACCGCCACCTTGCGCTTCCTTACAGGCCTAATAATTTCACTGTCAGTAGAATCAGTAGAATCGTCTCCGGAATCGTCAAAACAGTCATCCGCATCTTCGATCTCACTAGGAATATCTGATAAATTATCGTTAAATACTTCCGGAAGTGTATCAGTTTCGTTGGTTTCCTTCCTTTTTCTGAGAGGGCATTTCTAAAAGCGCCAGGAACTTGAAGACGAAGACTATTTGAATGACCAAAATACAATGTAACTGCAATGCTTTATGGGTTCGTGCAATTATATAGTTTTTTTGTAGATTGACCTGCACGGTTTCCATCAATGAGATCGCTTCATTCGATGTGGACTGTGCCGCGCCAGCCCGACCAAGGGTGTCTCTGAGTTGGGGGGCGGGGGGGTGGTGTGTGTGTGTGTGAAAGGATTAAGGAAAGACAGACAAGAGAATAATAGCTGGGTCTCGGTGGGACGCTGCTCCCTCAAGAGGAGACAACACCAGCGCCCACAACCTGTGTCTTTATTTTATAGCAGATGCCATGAGGCAAAGTAGGGGCGTGATCACGTTGTTTACAGCACTCTTGTGAGTTTCATCCTCACTCAAGTACATGCACCTGAACTCTATCACAAGGCACATGCTACGTGTTCGGACCATAGGTTCAAGCTTACAACCACAGCCGTTGGCTATGATTGTGCTGGGAGGGCCCTGCCCTCCAGCTGGGACTTGCACGTGGCAATGAGAGGACCCTGTCCTTTCATTAATCCGAGGTTTGAACCTGGCCAAAACACCATAACCGCGCCCCACAGAGGGGGTCTCTTGTTTCCAAAAAGCAGAAAGGCACCTGTTTGTAGCCCTTAAAATGGCCCCAGCAAAGGAGGTCTGGGGTGGGGATGGCCAAGGAGTTGGAGGAGGGAAAGGGCTGGAACTGGCCAGTGTGTGTGTGTGTGTGTGTGTGTGTGTGTGTGTGTGTGTGATCCTTCCTTCCCAATAGAGGGGTCTCTGCCAGTTCCCTAACTGGCCCCACCCAGGTCCTGTGCAGTGGATGGGAAGTGAGCTACCTTCCACCTCCCCCCAAGTCTCAAAGGACCCCTACCCAGCACCCTGTGCAGCCACAAAATGTCATAGGTGCTGATGGCATCCCCACGATGACACCCAGGACATCACACAATTGCAAGCACACAGCCTAGGGCAGTCAGATCCCTTGTCTGACCCCACAGCCCCCTCCACCCCTGGTCCCTACAGGGGTTACAGTAGACCCATTGTCCCCACCCCAGCCCGCCTTCGCCAAAAGTTCCCTCTCCTGGAGACCCTCCCCCACAGAGCCCCCTCCCCTTCCCTGACCTCATCCTCTCCCAGAGTCCTCACCCCCTCTCTGAGCTCCCCTTCCTCTTCCTGAGCCTCTACCTTCTCACAAGACCCTCCTCTAAGCCCACATCTTCGGGTCCCACTTCAGCACCTTCCCCAGTCACGCAGCTCCTAGCAAGTCCTCCCCGCAGGGGCCTCAGTTTCTCCCTACGGTAGGGAGAAGCTCCTTGGGGTGGCCGGCCCCTTCCCAGACCCCAGTGGGACCAGGGACTAACTCCAGACCAGGGAGGGTTAACTCGGATGTGGGGCGGGGCAGGGCATCTCGGATGCCAATACTCCCCAGGGCTTCACCCCTAGCCATGGCTGCGGGCCCCGAGTCCCATGGTGGGTGCCCCCGTGCGCAGATGCCTCACCTACGCAAGGTGGGTGCTGGGTGGGGGTCCTGCCGTCCCCAGGATTTCTGGCATCAAGGCCGGGAGGGGCAGGAGAGGAGTGGGTGCAGGTGGGTGAGCGTGAGTGTAGACTTGGACCTGGGGACGTTGGCCTTTTGTGGGGCGGGGTGAGGCAGCAGAGACCCCAAGCGCTGGGGGGTTAGGGGAGTGGCCCCTCGCCTTCGCCCCGCCCCCACCCATCGCCAGCAAGGCCTGAGATCCCACCATCTGTGTGTGTTAATCTCTGCGCACACTGATCCGGGCAGCCAGGTCGGTGGAGTCAGGATGTGGGATGGGGGAGGCTGGCTGGGGCGACCCCGCACTGTCCCCTTTGCCCAGATGGAGCGGGTGGTCGTGAGTATGCAGGACCCCGACCAGGGCGTGAAGATGCGGAGCCAGCGGCTGCTCATCACAGTCATTCCACACGCTGTGACCGGTGAGGCTGGGGTGTGGGGGTTGGGGGCTGGCAGCCCTGCCTTGGCCTCCGCCACACAATCTCTGCTACGCAGGCAGCGACGTCGTGGAGTGGCTGATCCAAAAGTACTGCATCTCAGAGGAGGGTAAGGGGGTCAGCTCACTGCCCATCCTGGCCCCTAGCCCACCCTGGGGTCCCAGGGCTCATAGGGCGGGGCCTGCTGGGGCTCGGCAGTCTTAGGGCCAAGCCAAGTGTGTTGGGGAAGGGGAACTCATCCCCAGAGACCCTGCTCAGTTCTCCCCGATGAGGATTTGCCACCTGCCTTAACCTCCCAACCCCACCCAGAGGCCCTGCACCTGGGCGCCCTCCTGGTTCGGCACGGCTACCTGTACGCACTGCGCGAGCCCCACAGCCCTGGGCTGCAGCTTGACGAAACGCTCTACAGGTTCCAGGTCAGGCTCAACTGGGAGCAGGTGGGAATCCAGCAGCCCAGCTAGTGGGAACTTCTGGAAGGGGCGGGGCTGGGTGGAAGCAAAAGCCGAGATGTCACAGCAGGCTGGGGGTCTACTGTCCCCTCCCCAAAAGGCCTGCACTGGAAGCTTCCTTGTGGTGGAAGGATCCAGTTCAGGGGAGGGGCCACAGCAGGGCCTCCATCAGGGTAGCCCCTATGGGGGATTTTGCCAGCTTCCCCTGGTCCTGAGGCCCCCACTCCAAGAAGGAGGCTTGTGGGGCCTGAGGACAGGATCCCTGCACCTCAGTGTGTCTGTGCCTCAGTCATGATGGAACTCCCTGCCTGCCCTTCCTCCCAGCATAGACCGTGACTAAATCTGGGGCTTGGGAAGGCCCCACCCACCCCTCCCTGAAGTGAAGGCCCCTGGAGCTCAGGGTCAGGGCCCCAAGGGGTGAATGGAGCTCAGTTCCAGGTGGGAGAATGGCCGGTGGCCGGCCGAGCCTCCGGGCCATGGGCAGGCAGGCAGATTCTCAGGCTCCCATCCCCAGCCAGCCCAGTCTCTTCCCAAGGGAGCTGAGAGGGTGGGGACAACTCCCGGGGCGGGGAAGGCCCAGGAGGTCCCAGATACCCCTTGTTCCCACATGGCCCCAGACACCCTATTTCTGGACGAGCACTCTGTGGCCAGCTGCTGAGCTTGACTATGGTGAGTGAGGAAGGGCGGGCTAGCCTGGGACGGCTCCCGGGACTGTGGCTCTGGGTGACGCACAGGGAAGGAGGGGCAGGGTGCTCCTCTGCAGCCTGCTCCCTGTCCTTCCAGCCATCTACCTGGCCAAGAAGAATATCCGAAAGCAGGGGGCCCTGGTCGACCATGAGAAGGTGGGACCCCCACCCCAGGCTGAGTCCAGCCAGAGGAGCCCAAGCCCCACTCATGTCCCCAGGGCCTCACAGTTTGACTCAGAGCACACAGCCCAGGCCCCAGGATAATGCAGGCGCACAAACACGCCATCCCCTGTAGTGGCTCAGTGGGGAGGAGGGAGGGCCCATGCCCCGCCCCTGAGCTTGGCATGGAAGCGGCTCAGCCACGAGACCTGAACGCCACCCCCAGGAGCACTATGACCAGCTGCACAGGAAGATCAACCACACGTGGGACCTGGTGGTGATGCAGGCGAGAGAACAGCTGCGGTGAGAGCCCCGCCCCCCGCCCAGCGGGCACAGAGCCCAGATTGCCCAGGAGGCCCAGAGGCACTTAGCCGGGCACTGGCAGCCATGGGTCCAGAGACAGTGCCAGGCAGGCTTGGCTGCCTGCCCAGGCCCTGGTCGGAGGGTGGGTGTGGGAGGTGCTATGGCGGGTGCCTGTCCCCCAGCTCTGCCTTTCCCTCCCCAGGGCTGCTAAGCAGCGCAGGAAGGGGGACAGACTGGTCATTGCGTGCCAGGAGCAGACGTACTGGCTGGTGAACAGGCCCCCGGTGAGCCCTGGTGTGGGAGGTGCCGCCGGAGTCAGTGTGTGCGCCTCAAATGGTGCCCTGGGTGACAGGAGGGTCTCGTTCTGTGGCTCATCAGAACCTAGAGAGCACAAGGCAGGACTAAGGCTGCCCCCACTCACAGACCACGGGGCAAAACGCTTCTTTCTAGGTCTAAGGGAGAGGCCTGCGGAAGCTGTGGGGGGACCTCAAGACCCTAGCGATGAGGCAAGTGGCGGCGAGGCTTAGCTGCAGCTTCTGGGGGCGCTGGTCAGGAGTCAGGCCTTGCCCAGAACCGCAGGCCTGGCAGGTGGTTTGAGGTCCCCTGACTGTGTGGGGCCGTGGAGAGATGTCTGGGTCCATGTGGCAGTCACAGCAAACCATGAATGGAAGCTACTCCTGTGGGAAAAAAACCAAGGAAATAGATTCTGGGAGGCACCTACAGGCCTCATGACCTCATCATGTGTGTTTGGGGGTGTCTCCGGGAAAATGACTCAATCTTCCATCTGGGGGCCAGGCGGCGGGCCGTGGGAGGAAGGTGGAATGGGCATGGCCCCAAGGCTATGTGCATGAGCTGAGGCCGAGGCCCAGGAGTGGCCAGGCCAGTGATATGGGTGAGTTGCGTGTGGAGGGAGGGGACCAGCGATGTGGGTGAGGTGCGTGTGGAGGGAGGGGACCAGCGATGTGGGTGAGTTGCGTGTGGAGGGAGGGGACCAGCGATGTGGGTGAGGTGCGTGTGGAGGGAGGGGACCAGCGATGTGGGTGAGGTGCGTGTGGAGGGAGGGGACCAGCGATGTGGGTGAGGTGCGTGTGGAGGGAGGGGACCAGCGATGTGGGTGAGGTGCGTGTGGAGGGAGGGGACCAGCGATGTGGGTGAGGTGCGTGTGGAGGGAGGGGACCAGCGATGTGGGTGAGGTGCGTGTGGAGGGAGGGGACCAGCGATGTGGGTGAGGTGCGTGTGGAGGGAGGGGACCAGCGATGTGGGTGAGGTGCGTGTGGAGGGAGGGGACCAGCGATGTGGGTGAGGTGCGTGTGGAGGGAGGGGACCAGCGATGTGGGTGAGGTGCGTGTGGAGGGAGGGGACCAGCGATGTGGGTGAGGTGCGTGTGGAGGGAGGGGACCAGCGATGTGGGTGAGGTGCGTGTGGAGGGAGGGGACCAGCGATGTGGGTGAGGTGCGTGTGGAGGGAGGGGACCAGCGATGTGGGTGAGGTGCGTGTGGAGGGAGGGGACCAGCGATGTGGGTGAGGTGCGTGTGGAGGGAGGGGACCAGCGATGTGGGTGAGGTGCGTGTGGAGGGAGGGGACCAGCGATGTGGGTGAGGTGCGTGTGGAGGGAGGGGACCAGCGATGTGGGTGAGGTGCGTGTGGAGGGAGGGGACCAGCGATGTGGGTGAGGTGCGTGTGGAGGGAGGGGACCAGCGATGTGGGTGAGGTGCGTGTGGAGGGAGGGGACCAGCGATGTGGGTGAGGTGCGTGTGGAGGGAGGGGACCAGCGATGTGGGTGAGGTGCGTGTGGAGGGAGGGGACCAGCGATGTGGGTGAGGTGCGTGTGGAGGGAGGGGACCAGCGATGTGGGTGAGGTGCGTGTGGAGGGAGGGGACCAGCGATGTGGGTGAGGTGCGTGTGGAGGGAGGGGACCAGCGATGTGGGTGAGGTGCGTGTGGAGGGAGGGGACCAGCGATGTGGGTGAGGTGCGTGTGGAGGGAGGGGACCAGCGATGTGGGTGAGGTGCGTGTGGAGGGAGGGGACCAGCGATGTGGGTGAGGTGCGTGTGGAGGGAGGGGACCAGCGATGTGGGTGAGGTGCGTGGGGCCAGTGATGTGGGTGAGGTGCGTGTGGAGGGACCAGCGATGTGGGTGAGGTGCGTGTGGAGGGACCAGGAGTGGCAGCTGGAGCCTCTGGGCAAGTGGACACGAGGGTTCTGACTTGGGCGGAGGGAGGGAGAGGCCAGACCCGCATGTGTGTGTGAGGACAGGTGGCAGGACGAGTGGGTTTGGGTGAGTGGAACTGTCTTAGGTGCTTAGGCCTCTGGCTTGAGCAGTCAGGTCTGTGAAGGTGAGCTTGGCCTGGGGAGAAAGAGGGGAGGTTTGGGGAGAAAAGTCAAGGATTTTGCTCTAGTGGCAAAGCCAGGCTGGGAGACACATGGATGTGGAACTCAGGGGCTCTGAGCTGGGGGAGGGCTGGAGAGAAAACCCGGAGTGGCTCTGAGAGGGCGGTCACCTGGGATGGGAATGGGCAGAGACGAGACTCAGGTCTCTGGGTTCCTCTGCGTGTCAGTGTCCAGGTCAAAGGGTGACATGTGGGCTCAGAGCTTCAATATGTGGGAGTGAGTGGGGGGCAGGAACATAGCTCTAGGGTGGGGTCTCAGCAGCCCATCTGAGCTCCCTGCCTCGTCTGCTCTCCTCTCTGCAGCCTGGGGTGCCCAGTGTGCTGGAGCAGGGTCCAGAGCGGGGCTCCTGCATGGCCAGGCGAGTGCAGATGGTAAGACCCTGCAGGCAGGCACGCCCCAGCCCCACCCATTCCCCACGCCTACACACATGCCCCACCCCTCACCCCTGCACCCAGGCCTCCTGCCATCCCCATCCCCAACACCCCGTGCACACACCCCTCCCCGCCCCCACTCCACCACTCTGGGACCACTTGGGGGCTCCCCCCATCTGTGCATTCATCTGTCCATCCAGATGGCACTCGACGCAGCCACTCATGGGCCCTGTCCTACTCCTGGCCTCATTCTCCCCTCACCCTACCCCCATGCCCAGCCCCCTGCTAACTCTTGTCTTCTCTCACTTCCCACCTACTGCTCTGGGTGAAAGTAAGTGCGATGGGCCCTGACGAGGGC